TCGCTCACTTGTAGGAAGTCATGTTCTGAAAGAACAATTCTTTGCTGAAAGGAATTTCTGCCACAAACAACCTAACACATTTTTCTGGGTTTTGTTTGTGGGCTTTGGACAGCTGAGATTGCTAATCAGATTCTTAGAACTAGGGTTCTTTATTCACTTTACTTTTGATTTTATCAACTTAAGATAACAGAATATTTTTAAAAGCACACATGAATTCTCTAGGTCTCTGATTCAAACAGGATCTAAAAAAACCCCCAAAACACCAACTTCAAATTGTCAGGAAAGTGATGTGAATGAGCTCTTCAAAATTACCTGCTTTATTGACAAACACTAGTTTCCTTGTCAGGACTTCTGTCCCAGATTGCTTTGGCCCTTTCAAATTTCTGCCCTGTTCATGTTAACTTTCCCACTGATTTAATTTTTTCCCCTCCTATGTTCATTGTCATGCATTTCCAACACGCTAAAAATTGTTTTGTCTCACTACGGTGGTTTCTAAACACCAAGGAGAAGTTTTGCCAGTCAAAATCATGCATTTGTAGTGTTGTTTAACTATATAAGCTCAAATATGCATACACTAACAAGATCACTTTAATGAATTTAAATAAGCTTATCCAAGAGGAAAAAAAGAATACTGTCTTCCTTGGCATTTCTTATATTTAATAGTTTGTGCCAGTTCTTGTGAAAGATGCAGGCATTTACATGTTTCTGGTAGTATTGATGTTTTGCCAGTAGATGGCAGACTTTACTGCAAAGAATTTTACTGCCAAACATCTCATCTGCATCAGAAGGATTTAAGCATGGGGTAAAATGTTTGGCACTAATTCCTCTCGTAATTAGATTAATATACCGAAGTTTATAAAGAGACTGACAATTACTTCAAGTGTCATTCAGTGTAAATCCAAAGTGATCAGCATTTTGTTTCCATTTTCTAATGTTACATACAAGTTTTAAGACCTGTTGGAACAAGTCACTGCTGAAGTGACCTTAATTGCTTAAGAATGAAAACAACTCCTCTGCACCTCTGAGCTAGAACATGAGGCTTTTTCAGGTTATCCTTCTGCAACCTTATCAAAAATCAAGCTCTAAATCAAGCTCAAAAATGGTGCTCTAACTAGCAGTCCAGGATCCAAGGATTTTCTGAAGCACTCACATCATATAGGAATATGATTTTTCTCATAAAAGTCATGAGACTGTCCTGGTGAACTGCATACCACAGTATGATAGTGACATACCTTTTGATGATCACCTTTTTGAGATGCAGTTTTGCTGCTGGGGCACATCTGCTTATAGCATCCCTAACAAAAACTCTTGGTCCTAGCCCTTAAATAAAAAGTAAGCTGAAACTCACCGTGATTACATCTCTCCTAAGATATTCTGAATTTTTGTGTTCCTCAAGAACCATACAAATCATAAAAAACATGTCACAGTGCATTAGAATGAAGAAAAAATTCCAAAAACTTTATTGCTTTGCTGAAAACTTGTAGTACAAATCAGATAAAAACATTCTCTAGGGAATATTGGATTTATTAAATTGTCTGTTGGCAACTTCTGCATAAGAAATTTGTTTTATAAAGGCCAAAGGGATTGAAATTAAGATACTAGTTAAAAAAAAAGTAAAGGTTTTCTTTTTCACGTTTGTACCATTGTGTTGTCACCTTGGAGACAAATGGGTTGCCTTCAGTACAGACTGTGCTTTCAGTGCTTGCTTTCTTCTCTCATTTTCTATCCACTACTACTGCCTCAGAGAGCTATGAAGCTTTTTAACCAGTGCTCAAAACTAGTGTGTTGCTGTCAAAACTGCAGACTGACAAATGTTTCCATTTCCTTCACACACAGTCATTTCAATAAATTGAGCTGTTGCATGCAAATTATCTCTGGAAATGCAGTAATAATTAACTAAGTTGCTTCTCATGTGCCTTAAGAAGCACTTGAATGATTGACCTCACTTCTTGTAGTTTCCATAGTATAATAGTTAAGATAACTAAGATTCAATTACAGTATTAATTTCTTCAAAATTTGCAACATTTCTTCAAACATGCACTTTTAAGGAATTTTAAGTAGGTAGAGAGACTGAAAGGAAACCTCTTTAAAGTTATGCAATCCCAAGAAAAATGTGTGATGCAAAAGTTTCTAAGGAATAGTTTTGCTCATTTTAACTAATTAATAGATTGCAGTAAGCTCTTTATTATCCAGGCTAAAGAAAATAAACTAAGTATGTGGGTAACATACAAAATCACGTAAACTAGGACATCAGAACATACGTGAAGGTGTGTTGAGGAGGAGGAAGGTCTGTGATGCTGCTGACTGCGGAGCAAGTGAGTACCCTATGGTCAATGTCTTGAATCTTGCATTCAGTGAGAGCTGTGAGCTGGAGGAGCTACAACTGACACTGCATTAGGAAAAAATACCTGCTCCCACTGCAAAACTGAATGTTAACAGATTCGGGGATGGCCATTTTAAAGGCAGGCTAAATGAGAAGTATTATTTTTGTCCCGTTCTTCAAAGGACAGGAGGTATAGCATTTAACAAGGAAAGATCATACCTTTTCTATTTCTCCTCTGCATCTCTGGTATATATGAGCATGAGAACAACTAAAAATAGTCCCAAAAACATTTCTCAGGTTTTACTTACACATGCAACACCCCAAAAGAAACAATCAAGAATCTATTTCTATGTAGGTGTCTTAAGACACCATTTCTGTGTAATCCTTAAGATTGATAGTAAGAGTGACATTACGATTTAAAACAATGTTACTACATAAATCTCTATTCCACTTGTTCAAATTAATTAGGTATTTGACTCAATAAATGCACCTATGTTATAAGCATCAAGTTCATTCTGATTGGTGCTATTTAATCTCAGAGGCACTGCTGCTCCTGTATACACCTCAAGCCAGAGGGTACGTCAATGAAGCATAGATAACTCCCCCGACCTTCCCGTTTATTCTCAGTGTCATATGTATGTAAGCTGTCTTTCCTAAGTTGGTAAAGCCTTCTGAGGCTTTCTTCCTCCACAATGCCTTCCTGGGGAATAACAAATCAAATTATATTATGCATTAAGATACACATAATGAAAACGCACCCACCCTCATCAGTCAATTTTTAGTCTCTGACAGTCCCTAGTTTGTTATCCTTAGGTGACCAACCCTAGCCTCTCTCTTTTCCAGCCAAGTCAGGGATCTGTCCCAGGACTTTATAAGCATTGGTCTAGCCCCAGTTATTGAAAAGCTGCTTGTCTTTTAGTGACCTATCTCCTTCTCCATGGTGTCCACCTACCTGAATCTCAGTTCCAAGAACCAGAAAGAACTGGTGACAGATGGAGCTGAATTTCTCTGAGAAGTTCAGCTCACCCACAACACTCTGTTTGCATAAACATACACCATTCTGCCATTCATTTTCAAATAACTGCTGTAGAAGACACATACCCTTCATATTTCTAAACAAGACTCCAGAATAAAAATATAAACTGAAAGAAGAAAATAGGATGTTTACAGAACTCTCATATAGATCGTTTAACAAAACTTGCGTTCTCCAGCCCACTAGTCTTCCCCTTCTGAGTCACTACCTTGTCTCCAAAAGGAATGTTCAACTTTATTTCATAGATTCTTGGCCAGGATACGACTGCTTTTTTCCTCCCATGACACAAATAATTTTTTTTTCCTCTAGCAATATGCAAAATATTTTTTTATAGCTTTACACATATTTTGAGGAATGTCATATCATATTCACATTAGAAATCTGATGATATTTGGATGTTCACTATACAGTAGAAGATTTCTTACAACATGGTGAAAATCATTTACAAAAGAAAAAAATTGTACTGGATAGAACTCTTACTATATTCCAGATCAGATTTTCCAGTTTGATCGGTAGGAATTAAAATACTCTACACGCCTTTGGCTTTTTAGATCAGTATTTGTACAATTCCTGTCTTGTAGGTGGTTTATATCAGTAAATAACACCATCTATGAGATTTGATCTGCCACTGTTTCATTTTACTAGCACAGTATTTGGAGGCAATTCCAGGATTTCTTCCACTAGCCTCTCCTCAAGATTCAAAAGCTTAACTTTTAGACCAAGAATGAGGTCTAGCGTAAACACCTCATCTGCAAACATCCCTTTGGGTCTTATCTCCACAGCCTTGACTCAGTTCATATGTGAGTAACAAAACTCCCAAATGCTGCAGGATGTGTGTTGATGATTAACAGTTTCCACTGACCCATACCAAAACCATGGCAAGTCGTGACAGAAACAGCATGGTATTACAAGATGAATTTAGTGATCAATAGAACCCCATTACACTCTACCTACAGTAAAGAACATGTTTACACAGTGTTCACCATGTCCTTCCAGGCTCTGAGGTTGGAAGGCTCTCAGAGGATTACGTTGAACGTCAGGAGTTTGGGAGATTCTTTGTGGTGGAAATGCTGTACAGCTGTCAAATCACTATTTATAATTAGGAAGCTGAATTCAATGTGCGTGATGGTTTGAACTACTTACTTGAGCTATAACTGCATCAGAGTCATTTAGGTTTGTTGAAATCTAATACAAAAAACTTCCATCAAAAAAGAAGATAAAGCAGTATCGAACTGAAAGATGTAGTTCATCTCCTTTCTCTAGTAAAATAAAACAGTATTTTTAAAAATTGCCTTAAATATACCTAAATGCGTTCTATATTGTTGGGTACCTGTTGACAACCATCAATATTGCTTCAACTACACCCTTTACATAGTGTTAAACCACCCTGACACTCCAGGCCATGGTTGTTGGAAGATGCAAGAACAGGAAATTACAACATACTCATATTTGCATAATAGTTTTCATTTTACATTTATTGGTCTACTAATATGCATCACACAGTCACCAGCTAGGTTTTCTTCTCAACAGCCAACAACTGGAGCTGTTGGTTTTGAAGCACAGTTGTAAGAGCTGCACTTCTCTCATTCTTGCTTACTGCCAGTGCTGTGGAAGTCCTCAGGATTTTTTGTGTTTCCTTTCTAGAGTCACTTTGCTCGAGGAATGATTCCAGGTGCCTGTCAAACTCTTGCCAAAAGAACTCTACGTGCATTGCTGGTCATAAAGACAATACCTGTCCTTGTGCAGATGCACCGGTGGACAGTGTGGAGGAACTCTGCAATAAAACCTCTGATCCTTGCTTCTCCAACCCTTGTCTGCAGAATGCTACCTGTTTAAGCTCTGCTGGAAACCTCAGCTTTACTTGTGAGTGCCCAGCTGGGTATAATGGTCCTACCTGCGAAATAGCTGTCAGCATGTGTGACACAAACCCTTGTGAGCATGGAGGCACCTGCCAAAACGGCCTGGCTGGGCCCACCTGCCTTTGTAGCACAGGATACACAGGTACACTCTGCGAAATGGACTTGGATGAATGCATTTCCGAACCGTGCCACAACGGAGCAGTGTGCAGGGATGGGGTTGATGAATACTCCTGCTACTGCGTCCCAGGCTACCAAGGCAAGCACTGTGACCTGGAAGTGAACGAATGTGTGTCAGACCCGTGCCTGAACGGGGCAACATGTCTCAACCAGGTAGGACAGTACGACTGCATCTGTCCGCTTGGGTACACAGGTAAGCACTATAAATACAACCTTTTCTTTGCATCATGGAGAACTATCATAATTGCTGTTCCAAGTTCAACTCCGGCACCTACACACTTATTTAGTCGTATCTGTATTACCACCTTGCCTTCAGCTTTGGCACCACTGGCCGTTTGTGCATTATGAGTTATCTTATCACTGTGAACTATTGATATCACATAGAGAAGGATTAAAGAAATCTCACATTTACCAAACACTACAGAGCAGTTTCATGAACATCAAGCTATGTCATGGGGCTTGGTTAATTTTTCTTTTAAAAGAAACATTTGCAAAATGCATGTATTCAGAGTGCTATACATAGATTTTGTCCTCAACCAAAATCTATTTTGACAGGGTTAAAAACTAGATCTAATCATACTTGCTTGATTTGCTAATCACAACAAACTCTGTCCTTAAACCTAGAAATTCACATTAACTTCCTCTCCTTTGCTCTTCCCAGAAACAGAGGACTCATTTGTAACCAGAATATTATGTAAGTTAGATAGAAAGAAAAGTATTATCAGGTTCCCAAACTGCTCATTTTTTGATAATCGTATTTTATATGGTTCCTTTTTTAAGGTACAGGTGTGATTTTTCTTGCCTACTTCCTCTACTGGGGAGCATATAGTCCTTGCGGGATACAGCTCCCTTCAAATTTCAAACCTCTATTCAGGTGTAGGACCAGAAGAGGTAGCACTCTGAGTCATTAAAAAGATAAAATGGGAAGGAAGTATTTTAGTGATAGATTGCCAATCATTAAAAAGATAAAATGGGAAGTATTTTAGTGATAGATTGCCAGTCAGGTAACCAAAGAAAAAGAAGAGTCATACAGCAAAAGGAGGGAAAACCCCCAGCTATTTCTTTAAGTGATTCAAGTGAATATGAAGTAAGAGATGTGGTTTACAGCTCTATCCCCAAATCCACATGCAGGGAAGGAAGTCAGAGGTAAAAAGCAGCTTTCCTGTGTCTGACACAGCACTTGTGGGAAGCCAGCCCTTGGTTAATATCCCTCATGAGCATGGAAAATGTTATTTGAAGGAAGCTTGTTACCTTCCTGCCACCCTGCTGCTGCCATTAGGTGCCTAAGCCTAGGCCAGCTGAGGAGAAAACTACACAATTACACAAAGCTGAAGGAAGGAAAAGCCTACTAATAACCAGCACAGCTACTCTGCCACGGCCGGACTCAGCCCAGACCTCCCATTGCATTCAGGAAACTGTATTTGTTTAACTGGCACTGCTAGTGAGGTCCAGGCTGGATCTATTGCTCAGTAACTCCATTTGAAAGAGGCAGAATGTACACCTTAGAGACAAAGAGAGAGAAATCATAATAAAATAGTAAAGCTCAAACAAAAAGAAATTAAGATTTAGATCAACACAAACTGCTGGAAGAAACTCATTCTGCTGGAGTTGCTCCATTTTCATCATGAAATTCTGCTGTTTCCAAGGCAGATGCTCCCTGCTCTCACGAAAAATCAAGCCATGTCACTGAGGGCTCTGCACAAGCAGAGTTAAGAAATGGGGAGAGTGCCAAGGAAGAAGAGGGCTAAAATACAAAGCAAAAGAGGCTGTTTCGACATGCAGCTCCAACACTGCTTCCAGCAGCAAAGAGACTAATCATAATAATTCTATAAAGGATTAGTGTGCTGTTCCTTCAAAAGTAATACACCAGCTTTTAAACACTACTTAACAAAATGATTTATCAGAAGCATTCTTTTTTTGTCATTTTCTGCACCTTCCTGCGAGTTGCACTAAATGGACAAGCCGGAGGGATTACTGGATGGAAGCCCTGAGGTGTCCTCACTGGTAATAAAAAACCTCATTTGTTCTGTCACAGGATTTTGCCAACCATTATTATCCTGGCCTGACACCATGAATTATGGTTGCAAGTCATCCAGCCTCATATCATTTCCTTAAGATGTTAAAAAGGTTGTATCTCTTGATATGTAGGTAGAGAATGTACAGTAAATCTACAGCCGTAATGTTAACCAAATGCTTAAGTTACTGGCTGCAGTTGCTACTTGTTCCATGGACTCTTCACTGCTATTTTGTATGGTTGGTATGCTGCAGCACTTCTTAATATAGCTGAGAAACGTCACACACAACTCTTACACAAATGGAAGAGGTTAGAATGCACCAAGAGCCAAAGAATGGCAAGTTTAGCATGTAATCCACAGTTTCTATGATAATGCTCTGCATGTGTGAAATTATTTACAAGACATGTGTCATGCAGCTGTTAAATAATGAAGCTCAAATGGTTTGTTGAAGTTTTGTTGGCTACCTTAATCAAATGCCATTTTTTTTCCTCCATTGTACTAATTGCACTTGCTTTTAATTCACCCCAGAGTATGGTGTAAGAGCCCGTTATTACCCACAGCTAGATACCTTAATTACCTTGCTGGACACAGCTGAAGTCAGTTCTCCATTGCCAAGGAACATTTTAGTGTAAGCTATCAGGGGTGCATGGCAGTTCCCAAACCCAGTCTTAGCCCGAGACAGTTAGCCCACAAAACTCCAGCATGTTTGACCAGAAGGTGATCTTACAATCTATCTGTAGACAGGCAAGTCTGAAAATGTTGGCCATATCTCCTTCATCCTCACCTGCATTTACTTTTTATTGACTGGAGCTGCATAAGGAAGTACAGTAGGACAGTAAGAGTCATTTAAAAAGCAAGCAGTATAAGAAATAATCTTAGATCTTCAAAGAAATCACAAAAGTTATAATTTATATCCACCTGCCCAGTGTTTCAATACAAACCACTTGTATGGTTCTGTATCTGCCCAAACACTCTGCCTGCTCTAGGGGGGGATGCCTTTGCTTTTGATTCTGTAGCCCCATGCAATAACTGTGGCAGGACTTGGTGCTTTTTTTACTTTCTGACATACGATATTTGACATACAGCATATTTATGACAGAATGTTAGACTGAGGTGCAAATGCAGATCTAATCTTTTCATCTCTCCTCTTCACATGTAAGAAAGCCTGACAGGAGATTCAACAGAGGCTAAGAAGGAATTCCTCCCATTTGCATGGCATATTGCATTGGCTGGATGCATTATACAGAGAGAAGTTTTCTTCTGAGGCAACATTGCCGAAGGCAGGTTACTGGGCTTGATAGATTAAAGACATGAACCAAAACAACGCTATGTTCTCATGTTAATCATCAGGCTGTTCTCAGGCCTGTAGTTTTAAATTTGGCTGAACTGAAGATCAGTTGAACAGGGCTTGTTTTGTCACATGATTTTTAGTGTTCGCAGTAAGCTGTTAACAAGCTCTGGCAGATTTACGGTCACTAGGCATACTTCTGCAAACACATTGTTTACAATTACAGTGAATTCACAGGGCAATGACCACAGAGTGACTGCTTACTATATCTGGATGTAATGTAGATTACCATAAAGCCATAACAGAGTGTTCCTGCGCTAGGGTCTCATGGCAGGCTCTCCCTGAAAGTAGGGGCGAGATAGATCAGTGAACCCTAATCTGGAGGCACACGATTGCCAGGTTCACACATCCAGAGTTCTGTATGCAGTCTCAAGAAACTATAAAAATATATTCTCTGTATATTTAGTTACAGCAGTAATATTCCATAATTACCTCAAATGTGACCTTGCACCTTTATGTTTAAATACAGTGAAAAATAGCTATGAGCTAACATCCTCAAATTTAGTTTGGATATTTTACAATATTTCCAGCTTTTAATCTAGAATATAGATTTTAATATTTTTTTATTTAGGATTCTACATTTCAAAAGGTGAAAATACATTAGTAATCAGTAATAAATTGGTAACTTAATATTAGCAATCGCAGGGGTTTGATAAAATTATTCGTAAAATGTACAAGTTTCACAGCAGGACAGAGCTGGCAAAAACTGCATAAGGTAATAATTAGATATGGGTTCTGAAAAAAATTGCTAAGACATCAAACATGTCTATTCCTATGTTTTGAAAGCCTCCCCCATCATCAGGTATTGAAAACCTCACCTCTGAAAAAAATGGAACCTATTCACAGGGCTGCATATTCTCTTTAAAGTAGGAAATTCCCCTGAAAACTATTTACAATACTACTGCTGGTTGGGTAAGACAAATAAAAGACAGGGAAGTCCACTTAAAAGCAGCTTCTTCATTGTAATTTTCCATTTTGCATCTGTTTTGAGGCCTGTACTTCAGCTGTTAAAACAAACTGACTTGGCAAGGGAAAATTATTTTTAGAAAACATCACACTGTTACTTAAAATACTAAATAAGTGCACAAGCATACAAACCCCTAAATCAAAGCAGGAGCTGCAACACATTAGTAATGAAATTTTCTTAGTATCTCCTAGACTATGCTAGAGAGAAGAAAAAAAAGAGTGTATATTTAACCTCCCAACCTCCACAAATAGCTGTAAACTATGTTAGTAAGGATCTAGTTCCATCCATTATCTCTGAAGGACAGCTCCAAGATTCTCACCTCATGCAAACATGGCATCACAGACCAACTTATTTACACATTGTTAAATCTTAAAAAAATAAGCAATATAACACAGGTAAACAGACAGATGGACCGCTTTAGATGGACTCTTCTGAGGTCATTAAATTACTAGTCACTTCTGTATTATATAAATATGATAGTAGCATGTTTTGAATAATCTGAAAAGTAGTTTGTTCTGTTTCCATGTTCAAGCTAACATGAAAACTTGTTGCTCTACCTGTTCTTCTGAAAAACAGCTGGTTTGTTCTGTTAATTTTCCCAAACCTTGGAAAAAAAAACCTAATCTTGCAAAGAACATTGAGGAGGAAATACCTTTTAAAAATAGGCAATTACTTAAAAAAAACCAAACCAAAACACAACACATAAATAGGTGAATATTGTACTTCTAAATTTGGGGTTTGCTTGTTTTCTTTGCTTCTGAAGGTACAAACTGTGAGCTGGAAATAGATGAGTGCTCATCACAGCCATGCTTGAACGGTGCAACCTGCTGGGATTCCCTGGGGAGCTTTACCTGCTCCTGCGCACCAGGGTTTCTTGGAGACCTCTGCAAAACCAACATCGATGAGTGCGTCAGCCAGCCGTGCCTCAATGGGGGACAGTGCATAGATGGTGCCAATGGGTACGTCGTCTACAGCTGGGTAATGCTAGGGTGAGGTGCTGTTAGCTCCTCTGTTTGCAGACAGGAACGCTAGGAGAGCGGGCACTGCCAGGTAGCTGATTTAATTTCAAATTGTGGATTTCACTTCTTGGTCTGCACTGATTTTGCTTTAAATTTGAAAAGAATTAAAGAATGCAAATCTGGTGTCAGAGCCAGTAGGACAACAAAACATTTATGGCAAGGATAAATCAAGTGGTGTGTCTTTCACATTTGTGCTTTCACCGTAAACATTTACAACCTGTGGTTTGCCTGGCCCTGAGAACTGTCATTTACAGGTCAATGATGTTTCTAACACTCATCAAGCTTTAGCTTCCAAGGGAGATATGAGACTGTGTAAAATTGAATTTCCCAACAGCAGCTGCCCACACAGACAGAAGCATTGGAAAATAGAGTCAGAGAAAAAAAAAAAACCACCATAGTTATAGATATCATTAGAACATGTGTCAGGAAGTTTATAGGCATACAAGACAAAAGCTCCTTGTTCAAAACAACCTGCAGTCCATGGACAAAGAAAAATAAACAAACAAACCCAACAACAACAAACAGAATGAAAGGAAACAGAAAAGTAAGTTTCTCCAGCTGATGTTAGTAGTCCTAAACGGAGGTCCAAGCACAGCCCAGGCAGCCAGAGCTCTGGCATTCCTTCACCAATGCTGGCTTGCATACTCAACATGAGATATCCAAAACTGAAAACGCACGTATATAAGCTCAAGTCTATTTCACACAAAAAAAGATGAAAGTTCATGAGTGTATTCATGCAGGCGCTACCTCACCAGTATAACGTTTGTCCTCTACTGTGTATGTTTGGGTTTTTCTAAAGCAGTTTTGAAGATATTAGTCCTGCAAACAGCAGTTCAAAAATCATGTCAGCGAAAGGCACGCTTGCCTTGAATGAGAGGGGGAAGAGATCATGTTCTAGGAATGAGCTTTTGTACAGTGTGATGACATGGCACCAACCTTGTGGAGCTCATTTTCAGCAGTGCTGAATGACTCTGAACAGAACAAAGCAATTCACTATTGTCCAGTATAGCTAAAGCATGAGAGCAGGGAGAGGGAGGTCACCTTGCACCCAACTAGTTCACAGCAGATGAACTTAGTAACCTCCAAGCCTTTTGAGGATACACAAAATGAGGTGAGCAACTGGGGTGCTCATTCAGGTCAGACTTAATCCTTCTCATTATCTGCTAGCTTTCAAAGCTGAGGTACATGTAAGAACAAGTTTAATTGGCTTGTAATAATGCAGGTTATCTGGAGAACAATTGGAGAGGTTTCTTTTCCACATTTGTTGTATGATGAAAGGATTGGACAACAACGGATTCAAAACATAAGGGTATCTAGCAGTTTTCCTTCCTTTTGTGGTTAAATGAAGAACAGTAGTCTTTAAACAGTAGTTGTCTGACTAACGCTACAGTACAGCTGAGGCTTTTGTGAGTGCCCCCAACTCTCAGAAATGTGCAAGCTAACAGATTTATCATTTAAAGATGTAAATACAAACACCAAACTAAATTCTCTCCCAAATTTCAGACCAATCCTTCCAGTGAAATCCCATGAACACAACAAAGCAGAACTTGTTTTCTTGAAAGAGATGATTTCATATCATTACACATTTCTTATTTAAATTCAACGTTTTACAGATGTGCTTTAGTTGGACCTACAAAACCTTGTGTGCACAGGCACAGAGAATACCCATGGATGGTCCAAGCCTTTTTTCCATAGGAAATATTCCCAGGACCTTCAATGTTCCTTTTATTGTGTAGGAAAGAACATCTGTATACATTGCTTTCTGCATATTTTTTTGCCAATTCAATTTCTACCAGTCCAAGAGAAAGGGATACTAACACACTTACTGCCTTTCCCCTTTTCATATTGTGAAAAATGTGAAGCCTACAAAAATTGCAATGGAAATGACAGAGATATTCCCTGCACGCCCAAAATTAAGAAAAAAAAGATAAATTAATAATCCTTACAAAAAATTATCTGTCAAAGCCAATTTGAACTCACAAGCAGGTTTTTTTCCCCTGGACAAAGCTACATATTTCAGGAAAAAGCTCATTGTTGGTTCCCAGTGGCTGCAGTTTCTTCTAGAGCACCCGATGGCGGTCTTGTGCCTGGACTCAACTGTGCAAGCTGCTAGCCAGGGCTGCACAAGAAGTCTGCATATGTCTGGGAACAAATCCCAGATCTCCTGACTTCCAGCTAGAGTGAACATTGCATTCTGTGTTGCAGATACAACTGCAACTGTACCAGCACTGGATTTATGGGTGTACACTGTGAGACCCTAACTCCCTTATGTTGGTCACAACCATGCTACAATAACGGCACTTGTGAGGACAACGCTGACAATTACACGTGCCACTGCTGGCCAGGTAAACTCTAAGTTCTCCTATAAACACTCCCTTTCCTTGTGTAGTAGATATATCCTCATTTATTTTGCTGATACAATAAAATCTTCAAGATATAGAACCTTAAAAACACTCAGTGGGTTTGTGTTTAGATGGGCTTCACACCTCGTCATGAGTCAGAGCCTGATGGGTAAGTTGATGTCTTTTCCAGTTAAGGATTTCCCTTCACAGCAGAATCTGGCAAAAATAAAAGTGCCAGTATTATGGAGTAAAGACAGGAGATAAGTCAAAGTTGGGATCCATCTTCCAGTTACTTAATCCTTAAACCCATGTGATACATAAATGAATCACTGCTGCAGCTGACCCTTTTTTTACCCTTCACAAACATGACCTTTAAATCAGTCTAAAAACTTACTTTTCAAAATATTGTCTGTTTATAAATAAAAATTAAACTAGTTGTTATTTTGGGAAACTGGTCTTCTTTGTATCACCAGTTCAAGTTCTTCTGCCTAGGGTGAAACAGCCTGGGCGGTATCCTCTTCTACCAGCAATGTTTTCACATCCGGCTGTTTGCAAAAAGGGTCCCACAGCCTCAGGGGGACACAGACACTGTGCTGTTCAAGAGACTTTGTGACTCTTTCTAGAGAGACTTCTTGTACTTTGCGTGCTTAAAGTTTAACATCCGTGCCCTTTCTGAGGACACGAGCACAGCGCCCTGTGAGAAGTAACCAAGTGTTGCTGGACTACACAGGCTTTGGTGCACTGGAAATGGAAAGGTTAGACAGAGCCCTTAGTGTTTGCCAGAAACTGGGGACTTCTGTGGCACTCCACCAAATAATCTGTACTCCCTGCCCTCCTCTATCACAGGAAGGCGATGCAAAAGGAAAATTTCACGCAACCTGAGAGCATACCTACACCACAATGCAGCACCCTGTTATCCGCGCAGACCTCCACCTTACTTCCTATAAAACACCAAAGGGCACAGCAAAGCTCGGCTCGGTAACGCAGAAGAGCCGCAGCAATATCCTGTGCTGAGCCCGGACAGATTGCTGCAGTGAAATGCCCACACCCTCAGGAAGCAGAGGAAATCTTTTAGCACATGACGGACTCTGAGACCAATATTCACGGCATATATTCACAACAGCACTTTTGGGTCTGGAATGAGCGAATAGCACATGAATTAACTACCTTCTCCCTCTGGCTGTCCGCAGGCTACGCAGGTTTGCGTTGCGAGGAGGACATCGGGGAGTGCAGCAGCAGCCCCTGCCTCTCTGGTGGCGACTGCGTGGAGCGTTCCTGGGCAGGCCACTACGGGAGCATCCCAGGCCTGCCGCTGGCCTTCAGCTATGACAAGGCTGAGGGCTACATCTGTAGCTGTAAGCCAGGCTTTACCGGTAAGATTCCTTTGGTGAAAGCTTGGGAAATTACACGTTGCATCATTCTGTTGTTTAGGCCTGTCTGTAAATAGATCTTTGACCTAAGCTGTGCGTGTCCCTCTGGCAGTCTCCACACACAGTTCAGGTGGGATTGGTGTGGCATAAAGGGAGCCAGTTCCACAAGTTGTGGACATGGCAAGAGAGCAGCAGGCTCCAAGCATAGGGCCTACAGCAGCCCAGGCAGGAGGAGAGAGATGAGATCTCTTCCACACCTTCTCCACAAAGCTTCAAGATTCATTAGTGCATTTATTTGAATTATGCCATAAGCTTCAGTTAGCAGGTGTTCTGTCATGCATCGGAAATTCACTGTGCACCGGTATCATGTTACATGAATGAAAACAACGAATAACAAATAAGGGATTATTTTCATAAAACAACCATGAAACAAAACTCTCAAAGCTTTTGGTGTTTCTGTTGTGGTTTAACTC